AAACAAGAAAAGCTATCAGGAGAGAATTAATTCATGGAGTTCTTGGCTAACTGATTTCTTAGTAAAATGAGTTAAAGGTTCAAATGCATAATAGGCAATGGAAACTCAAATGTAGGCAATATGAGCCAGAGTAGGGCAGGAACATAATGGCTCTTCCAGTTTGAAATAACAGGAACCTTTAGAGCTATACGGAGGACTTTGTTTCTTGACCCCAGTTTCTCGGGAAGATAGGACAAGCCTCTCCATTTTGGTCTCCAACATATCGAGACTGAAGAGATTTTCTTGGTTTGCTTTAGCATTAACCCCATGGAAAAATAAAGCAACTTGACTCGAGAAGCAGCATAACTGCAACCTTGTGGTGGTGTCCGCATCAACCAGTGATTTCCCCTGTGGCAGTGCTGTGCTGCAGGGGATAATTGCATCCTGGGAAAACTGGCCCTACCAGGAAGGCTGCTGCAGGAATCCCTGCACTGCTCTGGCAGCCAGGCCATTAACATGATGCTGCACTTAAACTAGTAAGACTTGGCTGACCTAAATGGCTTGGCCCAGAGCCACTGCAGGGATGTTTGTACCTTTGGCATGGTTCACCCACAAACCTGTATAATCCACCTGTAGACAATAGACCATGTCTGCTATAAATGAGCACTTGAAGGCCTCTGTAGCCAGGTCTTTCCAAGTTGTGTAAGCTGTTTCTCTCTGTTTCATCCCCACCCTTATCTGCTGTATTCACACATGTAAATTTACATGAATAATTATGTACCAATATAGTAATGTTTTGCTTGGGAATGGAGTCTGTAAGTGAAGAAAGAGAATAACTCTTTAAAGATGTAAGGAACAGTTATCATTGCCTGCATAAACCTGCTTAGCCATTTTACCTGTGAGACAAGCAGTAACCTCTTTAGCTGGATGCCCTGCTTCTTTTCAAACAGTTCTGCCTGGAAAGCGAAACCTGGCCCTGCAAGGTTAGGTGCAGTGGTGTTCTGTGGCTCAGGGTGGGGACCCTGCTGTGCTGCTCTGCTGCAGGCACTGTGGATGCAGCAATTCCTGCTCTCCTTGGAGCAGCTCAGCAAGCCCAAGAGCAGAGACCTTTGTAATGATGAGGATTCAGATGAAACCACTATATTCATAAAAACAGAAAAAAACCAATCAATACCAGGAAAGGCAAGATTCAACAAAGTAAATACAGTGAATGGGGCCACTGGGCTTCAGAGTCCAGTTGCTTCAAGACCTGTGTCACCTCAAAGGAGCTCAGTGAAGTCCACTTTGCTAGCCTTCTCTTGGTGTCCTATGGGCTCAGGAAGTGCTGAAGCCTTGTCCTCCCTTACCCCATGGTATAGCTGTGATACTTCTCTGGTTTTGGTTTCATCCTTACACGTACCTTTCTACAACCAACCTAAAATTGTTCTTTCAGCATTTACAATTTTGTTGGCTGTTTGTTATGTCAAGTTTGTATGTTAAGTCTTTATGTTGATCTGTCCAGTGTTTCCCACTGTTGTTTGTTATCTCTGTTCTTGCTGAGCTCTGTGTGCGGGGGTGTCTTCTCTGTTAGACCTTTGTTCAGAGCTGAAGGGCTTGGTTTGGCATGTTACAAAGCTACAGTGCAGGACAGATGCTGTGTGAAGTATAAAGAACTTATGAGAAAGAAATGGGCACACACTTTTCTGTGGGTGCTCAAAGGGCCTTTTAGACACACCATTGTCTTCAGCTTTTCAGCAGCCTTGACTTGAGAACTTGACCTGCATAAATTGCAAAAGATATATGTGTTGCTTCATACAGTACCCTGTTCTTTATTTTTGCAATGTGTAAAGACTGCTGCAAAGATGAATATTCCATGAGAGTGATCCTGACTATGTTTTTTGCACATGAGTGTCAATTAGTACTGGCTATTTGCTTCCTTAGCACACTGAATATATACATGTCCCTTAAGCAAATTGGACATCGATTTTGTATTCTCCTGCAGAGTCCCCAGTGGAGTTGAGCTGCTGTTCTCTACCAAGTGTGGCTTTGTGTTGTTGCCAGATATATACATTTCTGGAGGGAGAATGTGGGATTGTGTAGCTGCAAAGCTGGCTGTGATGGCATCTTTCCTCATCATGCCTTCTGCCTGTACAGTTGGAAAACCTACTGAAGAAATGTTTTTTGAAGAGCTGAGCCAAGGAGGTAATGTCTTCTTGGAGTTCTCCTAGGTATTCCTAATGCTTTTCCCAACTAGAGTTGAGATTTTTAACTGCTGAGAAAGTTTACCAACATTTTGAGGTTGGTATGTTCAATGCCTGTAAAGTTCTTTGCAATTCAGGTACCTCACTTAGGTTATCTGGCTTTTCAGGCTGGTATCCTGTACTGTCTGAAGTGCAAAAGTTGTTTTGGTGTGGTGTCACCATGCTTCATGGTGACAGGATGTTGAATTCATCGTAGGCTAAGCCCATATACAGTTTGCTTCTACACAAACACATTCTTCTCTAAAAATGTAGACTTTTTTTGAGAAACCTGGGCTCACACAGTCTATAGGAAGTTTGGGGACATCCTGAAAAAATGGTTCACAGAGGCTTGGGCAGCACAGCCCAGCCTGTCCCATGGGCACAGGGTTGTGTCACCCAAGTGGAGCTGTACTGGTGAGTAGCATGTTCACTGAGTAGTCTGAAAAGTTTTTTCTGGCAGTATGTGTGCTTCAGTTCTCTCTGTCACCAGGGAGCCATCACCAACCTCCACGATCCTGGCTTCAGCTGTTTTTGCTGGAGCACAAAGGGAATTGTCCTAAAGGATCCTACAGCTCTGCCAGAGGAACAGTGGTTGGTAGCAAATGTTCCCACCTCCAAACAGCCTTGGTGGGGACAGGTAGATTATCCTCTAGGCCCTTGAGAGCTGTAGAGACTTGAGATTTGGCAGGCAGTTCAAAAACTGTTGCATCCGGCTAGTCAGGCTCTTAAAACAGGATTTGAAGAATCTATAAACCCTGTTTATCTCCATTTTGTGTGCCAGTGGTTTTTTATCCAGGCATTGTTTGGAAGAAGAAGAGCTAGAAGGAGGAATGGAGAGCAGCCTGGAAGTGGCATCAAAACTGCAGTTTCCAGAGGCCCAGAAGCTACACCAGAAAGAAAATGCTGTTTATTATTGTCAACCTGAACTCTAGTAAACACTGGATGTTCTTTTTACTTCCATTTCTTTTGGTTGCAATTCTTCAGTATGTCAGGTTCTTGATTTTTAGGAGGATTTTTATGCTGTGGGTATTATTCTGAAAAGCTGAAATCAGGCAGTGCACAGGGGAGGAGAAGAATGCATTTTTCATAAGATGGTTTTCCTTTTTCTTTGGGAAAAGTTTTCCTGTTTTCTATATATGATATAGAAATTCTATATATGATATATATATATTTTTATAAGTGATTAGAAAACTTGCATCCACTTACTATCAATTATACATATATTTTTAAGCAGCTTTGGCCTCAAACTGAATTAGATGTGCATGTGCCAGGAGAAATGAGTCAAATTTGTTGAAATAGAATCCTGTTTTTCCCTGTTGTAGTCAGATGAAAAGACACATTGAGAAGAATAGTAATGTCCAAATCAAGAAAAGATGTTACATTTCATTCCAGTGCCTGAAGGGAGCCTACAAGAGAGATGGAGAGATACTTTTATAAGGGCTTAGAGGGACAGGACATGGAGGAATGCCTTCAAACTGAGAGACAGTAGATTTAAATTAGATATTAGGAAGAAATTCTTCCCCATGAGGGTGGTGAGGCCCTGGCAAAGGTTACTCAGAGCAGCTGTGGCTGCCCTTGGATCCCTAGAAATGTCCAAGCCAATGTTGGACAGGGCTTGGAGCAGCCTGGGATAGTGGAAGTTGTCCCTGCCCATGGCAGGAGGTGGAATGAAATTCAAGGTCCTGTCTAACCCAGCCCATTCTATGACTCCATGGTTGTGATTTAGAAAATATCCCTCAGACACCAAAATGTGGAATGAGTTTAACAGAGAAATTGCATCAGAATTACAGATATCTTCAAAATAAAATGTCTGATTAATTTTTGATTTGATAGGCAGTTCTTGCAGAAAATAGACCAGGCCTTGGGACTGTGCTTGAAGAGGAGCTTTATAATACTTGGACCAGACAAATTGTATGCTTTTCCCCTAGTTTCCTAAGGTGGCATCTCCTGTGCACTGTTCTGATTATCCAATCGGCATTTCATTCCCATTTCATCCTTCTGTGGCTGCCTTGAGTCTGTTTTACTTCAGAGCTTGTGTTTGGGATGTTGGTTGTTACAAGCTAAGAATGAGCAATATCTATTGGAGGGCGGTGCAGCTCATATTTCTGTATGAGGTAGAGTTATCTAGAAACAGTATTTGTGTGTTCAATTGTCATTATCAAAATTCTGCTGTTGATTTTGCTGCTAAATTCACTGATCATATATGTAGATTGCACAGTCAAGCATAGTTGTTAAAATTGCATTAAGAACCCAGCACAAAATCCACCTAGCACAAAAATTCTTACCTGAAGTACCTTCCTTAATAATTCAAAGCAAAAAGCTGATGTTTTTTCTTTTATAAGGCGAAGTCTCAGAATAAGTATAATGCATACACACACAGAGATAATGGAATGATAATCTGTAAATAGAAACAAATAAATACAAAATATCAAAAACTGAAAAATAAGGATATATACATAAAAAGTAGAGCAGACTTACTGCATCCCCACAGTACCAAGCTATAGAGAGGAGTTGGTGAAACTGAGAAGTTTGGCACTAATACTCTGTTGAATTCTGAGGCACTTTTCTCCATTTTACCCCAGTTTTGGTTTGGTGCCAGGAGTCAGCATTTACCAAGCACACGATAAGGATCTGTGAACAGGTTATCAGTTCCTTGGGCAGTGCTGCATCCCACAGCTGCTCTGCTTCCAGAACCAGATGCCACCTCAGCAAGGGTGTAATCCTTCCTAGGCTGCACCGGCTTGTGCTGACAGGTTTTCTTGTGTGCAGGGCTCACTTTATCCTGGTCTCTCTTCCTTCCAGGATGGCTCGCTCTCTGTATGAGTGGCTGTGGCAGCACGAGTTCTGGCTGCCCCCAGGAATCACCTGGGAGGACATGCAAGAATCTGAAGACACTCATTACCCTCAACCTCGTGATCTCCTGCTCAGTATCCCTTTTGCTTTAATCTTGGTAGTAATTCGATGTGCCTTTGAAAGGTAAGTTATTTAATAGTGTTTGTGGTTTCTTAGGTGCAATGGGAGCAGTTTGGGTCGAAAAGCTGGCTTTGTTGTCTATGCCAGTGCATGACTGAAGAGGTCCACAGAGACTCCATGTCGCAAAGTGTGCTGACGTAGATGCATTTTTCAGCTCCTTCTTTTCAGCCCTGTGTACTGGCTAAAGATGAGCACAAACCCTATCCTTGGGGTCTATTTGCAAGCATTGTGACTTTGTACACATAGATCAGTGTAAGTGAGGTTTATGTGTGTGTTTTGCTGGTTTGTGTATGTTGTATATTACTTGCTATTTCTGGATTGAGTGTGGCAGAAAACGTGTTAAGACTCCATCATACAGTTAAATCTCCTTTATCTTGAGTGATGGGAATCTGGAGTATTGTACCTGATAGACAAACCTGAACAAGATGCATCAGATTGGGCTGAGCCCTGTGCCTCAGCATCAGCCCTGCTTAGCACAGGGGGCTGTGTGGCACTGACCCCCTGGCAGTGCCACTGCTCTCTGCCAGGGACACACATTTGTAGCTGCTTCCTCTGGCTTACAGTTGCTACAGACCCCTCAGTGCTGGGCTGCCAGGATTTCTGCTCCCCACATTCTGCTACCAGATCTGCTTTTGGGGCTGCTTTTTGCAAACTCTGTGATATCATACTCCAGTGCTGGCACAAGAAGTTACTCTGACTCAAGGATCTTTCTGGCCAGAACCATTTGAATGTTTTGCACATTACACTTCAGGACAGAAAATTTGGGCATTATGACAAAAGTATAACAAGAAATCCTGCAGGTGTCACTAACTTTGAGTTTAATTATTAAAGTCCTGAACTGGTGCCATTCCTTGATGCAGTTTGGACAAGAGTTAATGTGATTGGTGACATATGATTTGCTGGTGGAAAACTGAGATTTACTACAGCATTAACTGTAGTTAAGACTGCAGAGCAAATCCCCTTCGTGATATTGAATACACTTTAAAGTGTTTTTTAGTATATTCAAAACCCAGTATTCTTAGTAGCTCTCTGAAGAGGTAATTATTTGAAATCTTTGGTGGTTTTAAGCTTAGAAAGATGGGTGGAAATGACATTTTAAAAAATGTTTTCTCTTTTTTTTTTTGAAAAGTTGCTGCATAACAAAATGGAAATGGACTTTTCTGTAGACTAGAAAGATGTTTCTTCTGCAGATTCTCTGTGACACAAGAGTAGCTTGGAAAAACAAATAGAAGTTGAAATTATTCTGAGCTCTCCTATGAGAGTATTTTTATCTAAAAATACTGGCTGTAATTTGGGGTATTTTATTAAAACCAAATATGTGAGTAATTACTGAAATAATAATTTTAGGATGATATAAGATTGGAATTAAAATCTCCTCTTTGTAAACAATATGTTCAGTGTCCATTCCATAAATTCCATGGTTTTTATCCTGGACTTTCCTGGGGACATGGCCAGCTTGGTTACCTCTATTCATGTGGAAACCAAGGTGCTCTAGGTAGTCATTAAAACACAAGTGACACATTTCTTCCCTGCTGGTGCACGAGACCTGGCTGGATTCCCTACTCCTTCAGGTGGGCCCTGCTGGTCAGTGACACAGATGTGCTTCTGGTGTGGGGTTGGAAATTGGGCCCATGTGCCACTGACTGGCACTTGGCCAATTTATGGCTCCCCAGTGCAAGACATGGCCAGGAAGAAGGAGCAGCCAAACTCTTCCCTGTGGTGGTTCAGGACACGATTCAATGGGCACAAACTGCATGATGCTCCAACTGCACTTACAAAAGCTGTCTTCTTACTGTGACGGTGCTTAAACATTGGAACAACTTCCCCAGAGAAGAAAGGAGTCTGCATGGGCAGAGATACATGATGCCCAGCTGGACATAGCCCATGCAGCCTGCTGGAGCAGGAGGGTTGGGCTGGGTGATCTCCAGAGGCCCCTTTCAGCATCTCTGATTCTGTGCTTCTGTGACTCTTTATTTGTGTCCCTTTATTTGTCTACCTCCTGCCACACCACTCCCAGTCAATCTAAATATCTTTTTAATCTGCTTTTACATGCCAATGGCCAAGTAAAAAGATTTTTTCTTTCCCATGCAAGTGCTGCCTCAGCTGGGAGTGTTTCCACAGGCCTGGTCCTACTCATTAATTTTAAAGCTGTTTTGATTCACAAACTTCATTACATAAAAGCTACATGTCACACCCTTGAAAAAGATAACATCACAAGCCCATTTTACAGGTCCAGGAAGCCTATAATCATAGCACTATTTTACCTATGCAAATTACAAGCCGGTGTTCTGAGCTGTATTCTTGTTTGTCCTAACTCTGCAGTAATTTATTTCAGCATGACTTTTTCTCATTCTGAATCATTACTGTTTCACATCCAGTTCATCCTGGAGAAGAAAGCTTCCCCTGGGAAGGTGAGGTGTGAATCCAGCCTTCAGTTTCTCCATTGCTTTATCTGTATCTTTAAACAGTGGCACTGGCCCTGTTTAAATTAATTTACACCAAGTTTGTGAATTGCAAAAAGAAATGTGTGTTTATTTCTCATTTTCTGTGTAGATAACCCTGACTGTATTTCTTTGGACACCTGGTTTGCAGATTGAAATGAGTGGCTGTAACTAGTAGACAGATTTGGGTTTGGTGGCTGTAGCTTGCCCTCTGGCAATTTATTCTACCCTCAGCCACCACCAGCTATTGCTTGCAACTCTGCATTGGGTGCCATGTTTTTCTCTCTCTAGATAGTTCCTGGTGGCGTCTGCTTTGGGATTTCAGAGATGTTATAATGTGTTCATATGATCAGAACTACAGGTAAATAATAAGAGGCAGGGGAAGTCTGGAGGATTTTCTGCAATATCTGCATCAGCTGCTGTGCTGGGACCGATTGTTTCATCCTTTTTTTAGGCATTAAACATGTGTAAGGATGGATTTTTCCTCTCCTTTGCACTGGCTGGCTGAACTGGGGAAAACTGAGACAGCAACATCCTTCTAAGAGCCAGTGATGCAGGGGATGAGGTGCTGGCTGTGGGAAGAGGACCTGGGGTGTCTGGGTGTGGCCTGGGAGAGCTGAGGAGGTTGTGGGTGCAGCCCTGGGGGAGAAGAAACAGCTCACAGGTTGTGGAGCAAGTCCCCTGTGAGCTGGTTTGTGCTGAGGAAGGTGGGGAAAGGTGGATTCAGTGCTTCAGGAGAGTAGAAAGCCCATTTCTGCTGCAGTGCTGGGTTATGCCACAGTACTGAGGCAGGAACTGGGGGAAGCAATGAATGATGTCCAAAGGATAGAGAGGATAGAACTTGGGAACTTCCCTTGTTCCTTTAATATTTGCAGATTGCACTTGTGAGTAGGAGATATATTCTGCAACCATAACTTGGAGTTTGCTTTTACTTAGCAGAATTTTCCCTGGACATAGTCCTGCAAGGATGTTGGCTTCTCTTTTAGTTATGTAATGTTTAAGACCATTTTTGTAAAAATCAAGTTCTTGGAAAGCTATTATTCTGAAGGAATATTGCAAGGTGTTTCTTGCCTGCATGGTTAGTAAAATGTGGCAATGTGTCCTTTGAGTAATAGTAAAGCTACTGAAAACCATTCTTTACATACAATATTTTATTTGTCTGATTTTAGACTTGTCCAGGGATTTTTTGGTGGTGGTCACTTGAACGGAGTTGTCAGTGAATTTGAATCCACACAGTTCCCAGATTTCGCTAGAAGAGGATTTTAGTCAGAAATACTAGGTCTCTTTGTGGAAGGGTGGTGTCAGGATGTGACTCACATGTTGTACATTTAAAGAAATGGACACTCTTCATCAGCCAGGAACAGATACTTGAACTCAAGACCAAAAGAAGGAAAGGACACCAGTTCTGAGTATTTAATTTAGAAATTAATCATTCTAAAGTTTATTTTGCATAGAGACTTTTGTTGTTGATCAATAATCAGGAAGGATCTGGAAACAGTTTGCTGTTAAGGTCTTACAGGCAGGGCTTGGTGCAAAGATGAGGGGCACATTGCAGCATTTAACTGAAAAGGGACCTAACTCCGTTTGAACAGCAGCACTGTAGTGAATCCAGGCCTTGTATCAAATGGCACAGTCAGTGTGGAACATCTGCAAGCAGGAGAAGCAGAGACTACGCCAGGAGCATAGCAATAGCCCTGTGCCAAAGGAAAGCAGATCAAAAGAGACTGTGCAGTTCAAAGAACAGAAGTTCAGATTGCTGCTGTCACCGGTTCTGCATTTCTTAGTACTTGAAGGTATTTGCAAGTGGCACCCTTATAGATAATTTTTTTTTTAAATCCACCCCCAAAGTTTTTTGGTTTTTTTTTTTTTTTTTTTTTTTTTTTTTTTTTTTTTTTTTTTTTTTTTTTTTTTTTTTTTTTTTGTTTTGTTTTGTTTTACCTCACACTAACTCTGAAAGCCTCTGCAGAAGGAGTGTAGCCCACTTTTGAAAGGTGGGATAGTAGCAGTTTAACCCCATTTATGATAAATCCACTTAGTTTCGACTTCAGGAGGTTTTGCACAAGACAGTTTGTTCTGTGATTACTCAATAAAGTGCCTTGGTGAGAACTCTGCCATGTAAAATATGGAGTGAGAGGTGCTCACTGATGGAGGAGTAGGCTGGTGATGAGAATCATCTCCCTGACTGTGTCTGAGAGGGGCAGAGTTTAGTCCTCAGATTTACCCTTTTGTCTTGCAGAGAGCTGATAAAGTGCCATGATGAGGCTGTCCCTGCCATTGAGATGACATATCTGTAATGTTGAAATCAGTACTAGCATCATCCTTTTAGGGCTGTTCTTGGAACAGGACTTAACTGAGAACTGAGTCAGAGCATACAGCTAACACATGCAAATGTCCCTTAGGAAGAATTTCAGGCCTTGGTTTCCCAATGATGTTCATAAAAGTAGGATTGGTTCCATAAATCATGGGTAAACTGAAAACCTCAACAACAAAGTAATTGTAACTGGTTACACCCTGTCTTCATCCACTGCAGCTGGCTTGTTTCTGTTACAGTGAGATTTCATGCCATGACCATAAGAAATCAGCAGGAAATATAAACAAGTCAGGGATTAAACAAAATTAAGAAAATTTTCAGGACACTTTTCAGTAAAATAAATTTGTTGGAAAGCTACATTGACACCTGACATTGTCTTTGTTTAATGTATCTGGAAAATGTCATACATTTTAGTTCCCAATATGGCCTGATAAGAAGTGGCAATAAGGTTGTTTTCAACAATAGAATTGATTACATCTTCCTCTTCAGAGGTGCTTGTATTTATGCCTGTTCTTTGAAAGAGAAAGATCAAGCCCACTGTTTAATACAAGAACCAAGATCTAATGCAGATCTTAAAATAGATGTTTTCCCAGCTTCAGTGGTGTTATGGATACTACTGAGATACTGTGTTATTGTTCTTAGCACCGGACCTGCTGGTCCAGTATCACTCTTCTTAAACCAATCACTTCATATAGAAAAAAGTCATTAGATGCACTTAAAACATTTATTGAGAACAGTCAGAGCCAAACCCCAGAATTCCCAGTGATGGATATATTCTTTTGCCACCCAGCAGGAGTGCCAGAGTGCTGCTAAATTTCACTGAAACTAGTTAATGCTTACCCATGTTTTTGTGATCACTATGCATCTTGCTGCCAGCAAGCACACTTAGCCCTGGCCCTTCTTTTATGATAGAAACATGTAATTTTTGTTGGTCTTGGTATGTCTTTGAATGTTCCTCTAGCCAGTGGTGCCAAAGGAATTTCCCAGAGATAATGACAAAGAACAATTGATACACAGGCAGGTGGGCTGACTGTTCAAAAGAAAAGTGAGAACTGTTATATGAGTGAGCAAAATGTATACCCATTCTGTGGTTTAACAGAAATTACAGCATTCCTTAGGTAGGGGGGTCTTTTCATATTTTTTTTTTTAATAATTGTTAATTAAATTAAGAAATGAGTTCTTGAGAAGACAATGTCTAAAATACCCATTTGGAGAATTCTGAACCTGAAATAGTCCCTAAAGACATGCATATGGAGTATAAGCTCTATGACTAGCTGAAACCACAGGTAACCACACCAGATAATCACAGCCATAAATATATCCCATACTGTTTTGAAGTAGAACACCTTTAAACACCTACACACTGAAATAGCTTTTGCAGCTTTCTTTAAGCAAAGTGAAAGAAAAAAAAAATATTCTGTGTCCAAATCATTAGGAAGAGCACATCAGAGGACTTGCGTGGACATCAGGAGTGACCAGGCAGAGCAGGTGTGGGGCTCAGCTTCAGCACCAGTTTGCAGTAACACAGAGACACTTCCCCAGTGGCAGTGTGTAAAAGGGAGTAGTTAATAAGAACATCTAATTCTCGAGAAACTAAAGTAAAATTCAGATGATTTGGGTATTTTTTTAAAAAATTATTTGACAGGTTTCCTCTTTGTGCTGTATTTATGCAAGATCTCAATTCACACCTTTGAAGAGGATGTTTCCTGCTGCTGAGGTAGAGAACAGAGTTGGTCGTATAGGTGTTGAGTTGTTGAGCACAGGAATTCTCTGAGCAGTTTTCCTTGGATAGTGTTTTTCTATTTATGCAGGTTTTCTTGGTTTTTTTTTTTTTTTTTTTTTTTTTTTTTTTTTGGGGGTTTTTTTGTTTTTTTTTTTTTTTTTTCCTTTGTTTCACCATGAAAGACTGAAGATGCACAGCTAGTGCAAACATGCAAACATCCATTCCTTGTGACAAGATTTCTAGTTGCCATGTCCTTATTTTGCAACTGTGTTTGATTTATATTAGGAAACATGGAGGTAAGTTACTCAGGAAAGACCAAATGGCTTCCTGTTTCAGGACATTTCTTCTACACTAATGATACACCTATGGCAGAGCCTCCCTCTTGATCCTGAGCCAAGGCCTTAGTTCAGGTGGATGCCATGTATGTTCCATGTTCTAGATCAAGCAGGGAACAACATTTAGGCCTTATCACCAATGTGGTACTCCCCATGAGCTGCAAGGACTCCAGAGACACGTGACTGGTGATTCAGAAGCTGACAAAGGAGGATATCACATTTGCCAGCCTCATGTAATTTTGAATAATACAGCACAGAGCTCAGAGCAGTAGGGTTCAAGTCCAACAGTTTCCATGGTAGGTTTGTGATTTTACCTGCTTTACATGATACTTATGTTTAGATTCACATGTGGGAAGCAGCTGTTATGTACTGCATCATGTTTTAACAGTGCTGCAAAATCAGAAATCACTGTTCTATTTTTGGCTGACCCTTTATGTTTTCTTTTGCAGAGCCATAGCCCTGCCCCTCAGTACCAAATTGGGTGTGAGAGACAAGCAGAGACCAAAAGCTCAGCCCAACCCTGTGCTGGAAATATTCTATGGTACACGCCACAAGAACCCTAAAGAGGTGAGTCCCTTCTTTCTTTGCTTTCCTGTAGATTTTGTGTCTTTAGCCAAAGAAAATCCCGTTTGGAATCCTGAAGTTTAGCAATGCCATTCATATCTAGAAGCTCAAGAAAGGAAACGCTGTAGCACTGGTTACCTGAGAGCAGCCTGCCAGGAGGGTTCTCCTGCAATGCCATCAGCTCTGAGTTCTGCTTCTGAACACCTGGGAAGAAATTGCTCCCAAAAGGAACAGTGACAGCTCCTGTCCCTGCTTACCCTATACACAGCACAAGCTGCAGCACAGGGGGCTCTGCCTGAACATCAGTGGCACCTTCTTACTGTGAGGGTGCCCAGGGAAGTTGGGAATTTATATCCTTGGGAAAACTCAAAGCTCTCTGGACATGGTTCTTGACACCTGGCTCTAGGCAGCTCTATTTGAGCAAGGTCCGCTGGACGAGGTGATCTCCATGGTCCCTTCCAACTCCAGCCATTCTGTGATGGCTTCTTTTCATGTACTGGCAAATCTTGTAAAAGATTGGCTGCCTTGAATTCCCACATTGCTAGTCCTGCAGCTCAGCCAATGTGTCTTGCTTGATCTTGTAGTCCTAGACTGGGTCATTCTGTTACCATGCAATCCATGAGTTTGAGATTGGCCTTGCAAGAAGCCAGACTCTTGGCCATCATCACAGAGATTGTGAGGGGCTTCAGAAACCTGCAAACACAACTGGTGGGTAGTTGTCCCCTGAGGGATAAGAAAAGTGTTCTTCAAGAAATTGGCAAGATGACCCAGAGTTATAATGGCTGCTGCTGATGGGAAAAACCACTAGCAGGATTATGAATTGTCATGCAATATTAGAATTTAACCTGGTCAGTGAAGTCCCTGGGTGTGAACTCTGTGATAAGAAAAGCAATCTGATTTTATTTCAGCTTGTTTTTGTAGATTTTCTCTTGGCCTCAAAGCAATAGCTGTAAACTCTTATAGAGGATGGGTGAGTAGGGTGTTCCAGTCCCAAGGACTACTCCAAACACATTGCTTCACCAAGACTGTTGCAGCATGGTTTTGGTGCAGTGGGGCATGAGGAGCCCCAGGACATGCAGTACCAGGTTAGAAATAAAGCAAAAGAGACTAAAATAAAAATGCAGGCATTGATCTGGGTAGTGCAGTCAGCCCATCTCTGCAGCAGTGGGAAGGAGTGTTCTGAGGGACACTTGTCAGTGTGGCTGACCTTCCTCTTGCCTTTCTGTCCCCAAAATCCAAACATTTCTCAGTATAACTGCTTCTACAGCAGAGATCTAACTCAAGACCTGGCTCTGCCAGCAGGTTTTTCCCAGAGCTCTATCTGCACCTCTGTTGCACTGAAGTGGTGCTTTTCTCCCAGCAGATCTGGGATACTGGAACAGATCCTCACCATGAGAAAGCAGTATGAGGTGGAACAGGAACTGCCTGGCTCCCTCCACTCACTGGATACAGCTCAGCCAGTGTGCTGGCTCCTTCCCCTCCCATGAGCTCTCAAACCACTGTTAGAGGCAGTTTTTACTTGTCCAGTACAATATGAGATTTTGCAGTTCTTGGCAGCCATTTCTTGGGAGGAATTCCTTATGATGAAGCAGTTGGAGAATGTAAATTAGCATCTCCATTTGTCTCCACCTCCAGAACAGGGCTCAAAAAACAGCGTATCTGAAAGCAGCATATCTAAAAATTGGTAAACAATTTATTTTTGTACAGCATGCTCAAAGTATATAGGCCACTCTCACATGGTACCAATTCAGGTAAATGCATTCCATGAGAAACTATTGCTTTACTTAAAAAATAAGGTTATCCATGATGACACTTCCAAGTAGGAATATAAAACATGACAAACTCTTAACAGCCTAAGGACAAGAAGGAAGGTAATTGTAGGATTTCTGTGAGTTATATATTGAAGCATTACCCCTAACAGGTTTACCACAAGAGGAGAATATGCAGTAGGAAAATGTTGCCTCTGCTCATGACATCCACTGTGATACTGCGTCCGAATTGCTGAGAGGCGTGACAAGATTTAGTGGAGAACCATAAAATATTATTTAATCTGTGCAATGATCTTTATTGGAGTGACAAATTGGAAGGATTTGGCCCCTGAAGATAGGGTGGGGAAGTGATTAGGCAACAAACTCATGCGAGGAGACAAGACTAGTTTGAAACTGGGGTAGTTAACATAAAAAAATTAGAAGTTTCAACATTAGTATTTATAACCAATTGATTGGAGGGGAATGGAAAGATTTTGTAGTATCCAAGATCTTTACAGCAGGAATGGACAGCTTTCAGAAAGATGCCTTAGCCTGAACAGACTTAGGCTGGCCAGGGGCTCCAGCTGGGCTCTGTGGTGGGTCAGATGAGATACTGCCCTGTCTGGCCTTTGAATCTGGATCTGAGCCTGCTGCCTCACCTGTTTTCCAGGGTGATCTGCTCAGTTTAGCTAAGCAATGTGACCTGCCAGTGCGGAAGGTGGAGAAGTGGTTCCGGCACCGGAGGAACATGGACCGGCCCAGTCTGTCCAAGAAGTTCAGCGAGGCCTGGTGAGCAGGAGCACAAGCCATGAACTCAAGTTTTCACCAGAGCTGAGCTCCACAGAGAGCTCACTGCATCCCCCAGCCCTCCATCCCTACACAGAGATCCCAGCTCCCTGTCTGCCCTCCATCCCTTTGCAGAGACCATCTTGGGTCTTCTCTGACCCACTTGGCTCTGCTATAACTCTCTGCTGCTTCTCTGTTATGGAAACATTTCTTTCTTTTCCCCCTTATTTGTAATCCCAAGTCTCCTTTTACCGCTGTACCTTTATTCCTTACTGGGTCCTTGTTTCTGACTTTTCCTGACTTTGTCACACTGACATCCTGCTCTGACACACATTTGAACCTGAAAAACTCTCTGTTGTTTACATCTTAGTGCTCTGCTGCTGCTTCAGTACCTACTAAAAATGCATCCTTTCTTTTGCCTTTCCCATGGTTTCCCTTTTTGCATAGATTCCTTCTGCTGCACCTTTTCTGCAACTATTTTGCACACTGTTGCTTTCAAAAGCTACAGGCAGCAGGCTGGATTGGATTCTGCTGTCATTTGTCCTCAGCATCCTGAAAGTCATAAACCAGCACCCTTCCATGGGGGTGAGCACAGAAGTGTGTGAGCAAAGAGCAAAACATGCCTAGGAAACAGCTGTGTGGAAATCCTCTTTGTTATGTGGAGGCACAAAATAAACCTCAGGACAGACAGATCTGAATGTCAGTCTTGGCTCAGCTTTCCACAGAAAAGGAGGATTCTCCACATGTAGGCTGGAATGCCTTATTTACAAGGAGCTGCTCTGCTATTTGTGTAAGGAATTGGTATCCCCCAGGAAAGCCACATAAGCAAAAGAAATCATTAAATACCTGGAGCACTATTCATCTATCTAAAAGTGTGTATTTGTATGCATAAGATAGGCATCAACTTTGGGCTCATCAGCATGTGCTCCATTTAACACTGCACCTGTAATTCAAAACCCTTGCCTAAAAACCCTAATTCAAAAAGAAGAAAAGGATGTATATTACGTTTTATAATATTCCATGTAGTTACAAATATTTACAGAAACAGTGAATAAGGAGTTGTAAAGCAACAATGTTTATTCTGCCTCCATCTCAGTGAAAATCAGCTCTCCCTGCCCTCTGATGACTTGAAGTAAATAGTAACAGTAAGTAGGAAACAGTAAATCCTTTTTTGCCTCAGCCCACTGAGGACAGTGTCCTTCCCCCACCCCTGCCCTCTGTCACCGTGTGCAGTCTGTAGACAGAATGGTTCTCTGATGTGACGTAGCAGCTTTACAGAGTTTATTTTTGTCTTGGAATTCCTGGGGCTTTCATTGACAGATGGAGTCTCTCAAAATGCAGTTATGTCTGAATTGTTATGGAGATTTTTGGATATTAAAGGACTAGTTTAGACAGTTTTACACCTTTTAATATTTCCTGTGGTTTGTTTTTTTATAACTTGTTTATTCTGTTGGGCTGAAATTTCCCCCATTCCTTACTATGTGTGTGAATATGCAGGTGACCTGCCTCTGTCCACTGAACTGAACAAACAGTTTGTATGTACTTCTGTGTGGGTTTAATGTTGGAAAGTCATTTCTGACTCCTCACTGGGTCAAACATGACAATAATTAGTTACTGTACATGATAACAAATTTAGCAGGCTGGATCTCCAAAGGACTAGGAGAGAGATTGGCATTGTTTCACTTTTACAAATGCATCTGCTACTGCTGGGAAGCTTTGGGATTATTCTACTCAGAATTTTAGTCAGCAAGATTCTTGTGTCCTCTGCCATCTCTACAGCAAAGGAATTGCTCTTTGTGAAGTCTGTTAAATGTGCTGATAAAATGCAAAGAGCTGCTCCTGTTTTGGTCAAACCTTAAACATACTAACACGTGTCTTTGCCTTAAAAGAGTTATTCTTTTAATTTGTGTGAGGATACACAGACTTGCAGCTCAGGGGTTAATGAATGGGATGCTAATGTCCTTTGTTTTGTTTGTTTGTAGCTGGAGATTTACATTTTACATCATTTCTTTCTTCACTGGACTCGCTGTCCTGTACGATGTGAGTATACACACAGTCACCTGATGTTCTACCCAGCCAATGCCTGCAAGAATGGCAGAGTTGGTTGTCAAACATGTCTTTTCAGATCTTCTTCTAGAGGTTTTCCATACAGGTTGGTGTGTATCCCCTGCATAGCACACTTAAGAGACCACAGACATACTGGACCATGCTTATTTTAAGGGCTCCAGAACCAAGATGTTTCCTATTCTTCTGGCAAAGCAGAATGCAGCTGGGATTGTATAAAAGTAAATTTCTGCAGGTAGTAGATAGAATACTTACCTAAGCTGGAAGCTGCAGGGCCTGTTTGTGTGTTGTATCCAATACCTCTTTAAGGTAAATAAATTTGGCTTCCTTTGGAGTATGGACTGCAATTTAATAATTGTTATCTACTAGATTTCTTTTCCTTATCCAGGGTGTTATTGGTTCAGGCTCATGCCTCAGCCTTTTCTCCAATTTGATAAATAGTGAGTTCTCTTGATACAGTTTGTACTGCCTCACCAGGCAGAAGTGGTAACAGGAGCCATGGGTGTGCTCTTGTCCCTGAGCTGTGGTCACTGAGCTGGGACTAGGGCATTGGCCATCTGCTGCTTCTGTTTTTTATGTTCCTCTGACTCTTTTGCTGTGTCTGGTTCCCTAAGTGAGCTTTGCAAAAGTCTTCTGGCACAGTCTGATGAGTTAAGTGATGCAAAATGTGCACAGCCCAAGGCAGCAGGCACAAACTCTCCTTGTAACCTCTCACTGTAACACTTGATACACAGACTTTCAAGTCAGATTTTAAGGTACTCTAAAGTATGAAGATTGTTGGAATCTGAGGTATTGATGATTTTGAGATTGTAGAAAGTCTCTGTCTTTCAGCCCCGCTGCCAAAGCAGAAGCCATAATTGGTCTGTGCTGGTTTCAGGGTTGTTTATTCTGTTGATCTCTCACATGTTCTGCTGCCCTGCCCAGCTCTGTCCTGCAGGGCAGCGTGTGGGGCTCTGCCCTCAGTGGGATGTTACAAACATTAAATACCAGAAACTCCCTGTGCTGGATTTACAATAACGTGCCAATATCTGTCATCTACGTTGGACAGTGTGTCCCCAGCCTGAACCAACAGAAAAATGCCAACCCCACAGTGAAACATGAAGGGCATGAAGAAGGAGGAAAAAGTACAAGGCACACCAAATTTCCTCCATCTTGTCCCCTTTGAACCCCTTATCTAGAATCCTAAAATTCTACTTTTGCACCCATGCCACACTTAATTATTACTTATATCAAACACTCAGAGCTGGTAATTCATCCTGTAAGATTGAAAACTCTTTTCCATGGACAGAGATCACAGCCAGTGTCTCTGGGGGCTCTGTCCAGGGGGGTTCCTGACCCCTGCCAGGGTCCCAGACCTGCCAGGGCAGCCAGAGGGAAGCCCTTGATTCCCACAGAGAATTAGAGGATGAGGTAGCTAAGAAGTGAAGGTATCTGAACCTGAGCTGCAGTCTTCTGTGGATCTGTACATCAAAACTGTTCTTTGAGACCAGCTATTGATATTTGGTCTGGATGACGTGCTTAGCATTGTACAGGAGCCCTGTGGCAAAGGGACAAAAATCATATTCTTCAGCATGCTGTCTGTCCACTATATGGATGAAATACCATTTTCACTTTTTGTGACTCATCTCTTTATTCAACACACTTCTTACAATTTTCACAAAAAAGAGAGACATCCATCCTACAGACAGCGCCTCTAGATCCTGTAGCAAATATGTTATTCTGTTACCTAAATTGTATTAAAATGGCTACTTTAAAAAGAAGGACAAAGAAATAACATGACAGGCATATATACCTGTGAGATTTCCTGACTTTCACATGTTTATTTTGTAACCTGAGTAGCTTTTAAACATGCACTTGTTTTTGTGAAAGTCCCTTCTTTCTTTAGGAAAAATGCAAATGTTTAAATTCTGCATTAGTAGTTTTGGACTGATAGCAAAAACCTCTGCCCGTAAGTCAGTGAAAAAAGCCTGTAACAAAAGAAAGTTATCTTCCAGTAGGCCACCAGAAATCAGCTATATTTGCTGAGAATAGAGGAATGATGAAATTCAGGGATCTGAAGTTCCTTTCTAGCTTAGGTAAACAGTATGCCATAGTTGTTTCATAGTTTTTGCTTTGTGCTTTCTGGTTCTATATTGCACATCTCTCCCAGTTCTGCACATGTAAATTCTGTAATTGCTGTAAATTCTATTCCCAACCTCACTCCCAGTCAGCAGGGACTGTGTCTGTTCCAAATTACCACTGCACCTAAAACTACTGCCTCCTGCTTTGCCTCTGTATTGCCCACACACCAGCAGTGCTCAGTGGGAAGAAGAAATGCTGCCTTCTTGCCTCATCTCTGATACCTGGAGCCCTGTAGAATTGAAATAAAATTAGGTGCAAGGCGTTGATGTGTTCTGTGAGCTCTGACCCAGTCTGGGCACAGCTCCAGGCAGAGCATGCTTCATGCAGGGAGGACTCTTGGGGACTTTAGTTGCCATGTTTCTATGAAGGTTTCAAAACTGCCAAGTTCTAAACTACTAATTTTCTATTGAACAAAATAGGATATTTTCAGAGGTCATTACTTAAACTGCAGCATAACCTTCATTGTTAAAGGAAAAAACACATACCTGACACACCAGTTTTCAGCCTTCTATCCGCATTTAAGTGTTATTGTCTAAATCACAGATATTCCTAATGAAATACTTGTAAGATTATTTTTAAATGCTCAAAACATCACCACCACCTCAAGCTTGTAGAAGATGGCAAAAAGTTGGGAGAGGTCTTCTCTGAGCTATTTAATTTTGAATGGCTAAATAGTGTTTGAGATTTCAGGCAAATAGCCACAATTTGGAAATGTCACAAGCAGATGGAAGTCCTTGTAGTGGAAATCTCTTGGCAATTGGATTCCAGACAGTGAGACCAGCTCTGTCTGTAATAAAATACAACTAAGTCTGTAGTAGTAACAAACTAAAGGAATTGGACAGCTGATAAGAAAAGAAATCCTCTGATATTCTCACATACATGTTGCGTTTTTGTTGCAGAAGCCTTGGCTTTGGGACCACAGAGAGTGCTGGACAGGATATCCACAACAGGTGAGTCATTTAAGAAAGAAAATTGCTGTTACAGTTCTTGTATTGTGTTTCTGTATTTTTTGAAAATCAGATTATAATAGTGACAAAAAGAGGACACTGGATTAAATTCAGACACAGAAGACCTAAGAATTCAAAGTGAGACCATCATCTGGAGATAACATCTTTGTACCTGGTATCATCTAATGCAAGAGAAGATGAATTGGCAGAGCACTTTGTCACTACTAAGAGAAAATGAAGACATGTTCCAGGGGTTTTGTCTGACAGACAAAGCTAGAGCAAGACCCCTTGACTATATGTGGAAGTTACAAACCCATAAATGGAAAAGTAATGCCCAATTCTAACAGCGTGAGGCAGAGGAAATGTAACGGGACAAATGACTGAAGGGTGAGGCAATGCCTTAAGAGGACGAGTGTCTGAACAATCTAGTATTGCAAGAAGGCAAAAAGTTTAGGGGTAAATCTATAGTTCTGTGTAAGAATTAAACCATACAAACAAGTGGGGCCTGAATAGGAATGTAAGGTTTCAAGCATCATTTGGCTCCCTCTGTCTCCTACTCTGTACACTTGTGGTACATGTCTTGTCAAAAACAGTGGGAGCCTCCATAATGGCACACTGTGATGGACTGACCCTGGCTGGACACAGTGTCTCCACCAAGCCCATTTTTCTCCCCCTCCTCAAATGGAAAGGGGGGAGAAAATATAGCAAAAGGCTCATGGGTTGAGATAAGGACAGGGAGAGAGCATCCCTGGTTACTATCACAGGTAAAACAGGTTTGACTTGGAGAAAAATTATTTTAACTTACTGTTACTCAAATAAGAGTAGTTTAATAAGAAATAAACCCAAATCTTAAAAAACACCTTCCTGCACCCTTCCCTTCTTCCTGGGCATAACCTCACCCCCACATTCTCCACCTCCTCCCCTGCAGTGGCACAGCGAGATGTGGAATGGGGGTTGTGGTCTGTCCATTGCACCTTGTCTCTGCTGCTCCTTCCTCCTGCTCTGGTAGCAGGGTTCTCCTGTGGGAGACAGCTCTCCAAGAACCTCTCCACTGTGGATCCTTTTCACAGGATGCAGTCTGTTAGGAATGGACTGCTCCATCATGGGTCCACCACGGGTCCACCACAGGTCTGCTGGTGCTGCAAGGAGCCTGCCCCAGCACAGAGTCTCCACAGGCTCAGAGCTTCCTTAGGCCACATCCCCCTGCTCTAGTCAGGGCTCCTTCATGGACTGTAAGTGGATTTCTGCTCCTCATGGACCTCTGTGGGCTGCAGGGGCACAGCCTGTATCACCATGACCTGCTGGGGCATCTCTGCTCCAGCACCAGGAGCTCCTTCTCCTGCTGCACTGACCTGAGGGTCTAGAGAACTGTATCTCATAGTCTCACACCTCTCTCCACAGCACTCTTTCCTGGCAGTTTTTTCCATTCTTAAATACATTGCTCTTGAGCCAGTGCCACTATCATTCATGAGCCAGCAGCAGATCCATCTTGGAGGTGTCTGGAGCAGGACAACAGACAGCTTCTGGCATCTCACAGAAGCCACCCCTGCCCCCACGCTGCTACCAAAACCTTTCCATGTAAATGCTACACACACCAATTTTCCAACATTTGTAACAACCAGAAAAAACCAAAACCAGGGCTGGTCATGTCCCACTGGCAAAGAACAAGTCAAGGACAAACCTGTGTATTAGCAGGAACAACAAATGTATTAATATGTATTAAGTACAATTTCTACTAAACAGACCATGTCCTGTGCTACAGACAATTACAAAAGAAACACTAGTTCTTTCAAATTGTCTGATCTTTGGGGGCAAAAACATAGCTTCTGATCCAGACCTCCTGCTAGGATAACCCGGAGTGTGACCAGCACATACCAGCTAGGGAGATGTTCATATCCTCCCTGGAAGCCCCAGGGCATGCAGCTGTGCTTCCTCTTGTGGCCAATTGCTGGTGCTACAAAGGAAAACAGACTAAAATTTATGAAGGCCATAAATAACCAGTTGTTATTAGGGAGGACAACACTTCATGTTCCTTTGAAAATGGTTGCAAAGCCCCTTTAGTTATAGTAATTATTTATCAAATATATTTAAGTTTAAGGAGGTCATATAATGCAACAACAGCAAAAATTGTTTGTTAAGTAACAAGATCTTACTGAGTGGGTCTAAGCTTTCCAATTTCCAGCTGTAAAAGCCCAGATAGTTTACTCAAAAGAATGTGAACTACATTTCCTCCTGGGGTTGGATTTTTCCTTCCATTAGTTTGATTAAACTGGAAAATTTGTGACATAGTGCAGGGTATCTGATGCATCTTCAAGCCTAAAAAGGGAATGATTTATTCAGCTACTCCTTTTCCACCATAATGAATTGGTTTATGTAGTTTTTAAAACTCTGTACTGTCTGCTCAGGAATCTGAATAATGCTGAAGAAATCCTAACAATAGTCACGATCTTCATGGTGGTTCCCTAAATGTTTGACATGGTGTGGTAAATTTGAATTTCCCCTGCTGTTTGATTTAATCTTGGCACAGATTACATTTAGTAAGTGAGAACTATTTCCCCCTGTAGCTGCAGGAGCTAACTTTGTTGATTTGGTTGTAGTATTGGGTTTTCGCTGCCTGTTTTTTGGTAGCAGGGGCCTACAGAGGTGGCTTCTGTAAGAAGTTACCAGAATCCTCCTCCATGTCCAGCAGAGCCAATCCCTGGTGCCTCCAAGTTGAACATGCCACTGACCAAGGCTGGGCCAATTAGAAATAGTGTTAACACTTCTGTGATAACGGATTTTAAAAGAAAGAAAGAAAAAAAAGTTACTGCACAGTTGTATTTTCAGCCAGAGAAGAGCAGGCTGAGCACATGGGAGAGGAACAACTCTGCAGACGTCAAGGTCAGTGGAGAAGGAAAGGCAGGAGGTGCTCCAGGTGCAGGAGCTGAGGTTCCTCTGCGGGCTGTGCAAGGGGAAGTAGCTGTGCCCCTGCAGCCCATGGGGATCCGCGGGCGATGCAGAGACCCACCTGCAGCCCATGGAGGAGGAGCTCACACCAGAGTAGGGGGATGTCTGAGAGGAGGCTGTGGCCTCATGGGACACCCATGGAGAGAGGAGCCCATACTGGAGCAGCCTTGAAGGAGTGCACCCATGGAAGAGTGACCCACACTGCAGCAGTTTGGGAAGGACTGTTTTCCATGGGATGAACTTATGTTGTGCCAGTTCATAGACAGCTGTTTCCTGTGGGATAGACGCACACTGGAGAAGTTAATGCAGAAGTGTTTGGGACCCCACGGTGCAGCAGGAGAACCATTCTTCTCACTGAGCAGCAGGAGAAGCCATGGGTGATGAACTGACCATAACCCCCATTCCTATCTCCTTGCATCACTGGGGTATGAGGTAGAGCTGGGAAGGAGGGAGGGGCAGGGGGAAAGGTGTTTCTAAGGGTTTATTTCACTTATCATGATCGTGCTCTGATTTTGTTAGCAATTAACTTAATTCATATATGTAATTAGAGTCTGTTTTGCCCATTACTACATTTGATGAGCAATCTGTCCTGGTCCTTATCTCAACTCATGAACCCTTTGTTATATTTTCTCTCCTCTGTCCAGCTGTGCAGGGCAGTGACAGTGTGGCTTTGGTGGATGCCTGGCATCAGTCAGCATCAACCCACTATATTTGTCTTTTGCCTTGGAAGGAGTTTTCACTTGCAGCCCTTGCATTAATGTATCTGATGGGTGTTTCCCTGTCTCTCCCTCTCTCACAGCCTCTCCAGCCCTCCCTGTTCTGGTACTACATGCTGGAGCTCTCCTTCTACTGGTCACTGGTCTTCACCTTGCCTTTTGATGTGAAGAGGAAGGTGAGTGGCAGTCTTAGGGGAGAATCAAGTGCAAACAGGACACAAGCTGAACACTTAGGAGAGTGATCTTTAAGAGCATGTTTATAGTGCTAGTCAAGGTTTTGTGGCACTCTCTTCTTGCTCATTCACAGGAATTTTCATTCCCACTCATTGGCTTTCTTTACTCTGGGAAGTGGAGAGCACCAACCATGATATAGAAAGGTGCAAAGTACTGCAGAGTTCTCAATCCAAACTTAAAATTTAAATATAAAAATTGCTCTTCTGTAACTCTTCTAGGCTGCACTGATCATAGAGACAGGAAGAGAGGTGGTTCTCTTCCAGTAAAGTTGCTTGTGTTCTTGGTGCCACTGTCCCAACAGACAGGGTGCAGCATCAGGCCATGGCTGGTAGGGGGAAAGAATGTTCTTTGTTGTGTGATTCTCAGTTTATACCATGAGCCCTTAATTCCTGGGTCTCTTGGTTGCCTACATTTCTAGAATTCATTTGGTAAAATAATTACATGGGTAAGATTTTGTAGTGGGAGGTTTCTTAATCACTAGGTAGAGAGATACCATTGCTACCTGCAGGAACCACGCTTGGACTGGGGCAGGAGATGCATTATGTATTTTATTCTCTGCTGTTCCCCTTCTCATCAGGATTTCAAGGAGCAGATAGTCCATCATGCTGCAACCATCTTCCTGATCAGTTTTTCATACTGTGCCAACTACATCCGCATTGGGACACTGGTGATGGTGATTCATGATGCTTCTGATTGCTTCCTAGAGGTGAGCCAAGCAGAGCCTAATCAGCAATGGTGCTCTTCAGTCACAGAATGTCCTTCTACCTAATGCAGGCCAAACACTGGGGTGTTCCACAGATCCTTCTGCTGCTCTGTTGACCCAGCAAAGGGTGTCCATCTGAGAGCTGGGCAGAGCTGTGGTTACCTGCGTGCAGGTTGTGTCATATCTGTCTCATTAACCCCCTGGACTGTGTGCAGATACTGTCTTGGCTGCTGTTTAATTGTTCTTTCTCCTTCCAGCCAACTAAGATATTCAATTACATGAAGTGGAAAAAAACTTGTGACAGCCTCTTTATGATCTTCTCAGCTGTTTTCCTGATCAGCCGCCTCGTCATTTACCCCTACACGTGAGTCTGCTGCAGTGAGGAGACATGGAAAAGCTGCCTTCTGAGAGACATCTGGGTGCTGCAGCCTTTGTTTTGTGTCCTGCAGCATGTGTTCCTCCCCTTTGCACATGGGTGCCACGTGGCTGTTGCACCTGCCTTGGGGTAAACAAGGCTGCTCTTTGGGTTCATAGAGCAGTCCTGGAGCCCTGGGCCAGTGGCTCCATCCCGTTTGGATGGGGAACTTTGGGTGGGGAACTGATAGCTGGGATAGGTAAAGATGGAAGTGCCTGATCTGAAATGTCCTCTGTGACTTACAAATTTCTGGGGCTTAATTGTAGCCCTGTTAACAACATGTTTTCCACTGCCATCCCCTCTCTTTTTCAGAGTGCTTTATAACACCTATTATTACTCCATGGAGATATTCCAACCCTTCTTTGGATATTACTTTGTGAATGTTCTCCTGATGATTCTGCAGCTGCTCCATGTCTTCTGGTCCTGCCTAATTATTCACATGGTCTACAAGTTCATCCTCCAGGGCACGGTATGGATTGTACTATCCTTTACATCACTGCTTGAGAATACAGGGGTCCATCTGGCATGAATTCCTTATTGTTCTATTGAAATTATATATGTATATTTCCAACAGTGAGGTGGAAGGAAATGCAGTTATATTAGGGAAAGTTGACAAAAATAATTTTATGAATCACTACAATATTGGGTGCACTTCTGGTGCTTATATTCAACAAAAATATGGATTGGACTCCAGGAGAGATGTCTGTGAACAAAGCCAGTGACAGCTGAGTAAAAATCCCAACACTTTGTGCAGTGTGATTTGCATTTGTAACATGACTAAGAAATCAAGGAAGAGGAAACTATCATGATTGGTGAGGTCAGTGCAGAATTGTTTTCCTTTATGGTAGAGGATTTTTTATTACAATTGTGTTATGGTGCTGTAGATTTCACACTGTAAGTATTTCTGTCTAAACCAACTGTCTGGGCTGTGAAGGGCACTTCCAGCAGTGGAGGCAACAGGCATGCCCAAATCACAATCCATTCTATACTTCACCTGGCAGTGCTGCTCAACAGCCACAGAGCAACCAGAGATAAGTATCTGACCTCCAGTTGTATAAACTGAAATGGAATGCATCCTACATCCACTCTCTGGCCTGTAGTGTTTGCTGTGAGACCAAAGTGCTGCTCAACATGAAATTATTCCCAAAATCAAAGCCATGACTGGCCACATGCCAAGGATGCAGTCCAAAGGTGACCAGTCAGTGCCTTGTAGGAACTGACCTCAGAGCCCAGGATGATTGCTTTTATTAGTATCCAGCTGAGGAATTCTGCCTTACAGAAACTGAGAGCAAGCATTAAAGGCTCCTCTTTATCCTGATTGTTCCCATTTTCTTTATCTGCTTTCCCTTAAGGTAGCACAGAGCAAATTACTTGCAGATCAGGAAACAGGGCCGGAAATGAAGACATAACTGAAGACAGCCTTTTATTGTTTTCCTAGTTTTTGTGAGGGCAGAATTACCACTGCAGTTACTGTAGTGTAAAATGATGAGGTAATAAATAGTCTTATTAGAAAGTAAAGAACCATCAGGGAGGAAAATCCTAAAGCATATCCAGAATTTTTCCTATTTTATCTAAAATGGATATGCCAGATTTGTTATAAAACTATATTTGAAAACTTTCTATACTGAGCAGTAAAAGGCAAAAAAGAATTGTCCTAGACAGATGTGTTTCAATGACAGTATTTAGTAGCCCAAAGCATACAGAATACAAAGAATACAGGACATTCTCTCTTTGAGAGCCATGAAACTTTTGCTGCAGTCAGTTTATGTTCTTCTTGCAGGCCTTTCTGGTCTCCATGGTTTTCCTCCCTGGCTACAGGATAATCTTTACCACCTTCTCACATGATGTTTCCTAATCCCAAGTAATTAGAATTCAGCCTACATCCTGAAGTACAAATTTCATTCCCTCATAGAGGGAGCAGCTTTATAGTTCCTTTGGGAATCTTGCCAGATTTAAGGCCTCAGCCACATTCTCTGGCTATAAATGGATATATTTAGAAATGCTGACTACAATTTGTCCTTATGCTGCTGGTCCAGACTCCTATATATTTCCTGATCTGTCAGTTCCAGAGTGATCCAAGATGCAGGTTGTTCACAACTGATACTATCTCCCACCCATATTGTCCTTGGAGGTAAATTGAATTCAGTGCAAGTTTAGATTGTTACAAATCCTGTCTGCATCTGGCTGTAGTGATCTCTGGAAAGAGCATGAGCTGAAATAGAGTTCTCAGTATGATCTGGGAGATCTCAAAAAGAATGGATAGCCATAAATGAAGACTAAATTTCTGGGCAGCACCTGGTTTTCCCCTGAGCAGTTTCTAAAGCTGAGGTCACAGAAGGGGTTTGCAGCTTTCCCGCTGTCCAGCAAGGAGTGTGACACTGAATTTGTCCCCAGTATTGGCATTTTATATGGCAGAGTAGAGACAGCCTGAGAAGCCAGGAAGTGCTGAGCTGCTTTTTTTCTAAGCTGTCATTTTATCCCACTATTTCTTTTTTGCCTTCCTTTTAAGGCAGTTAATTAAATGCTTACAGAACTGGATTACAGGTCTCTCAGTCAATAAACAGCAAGAGGAAAAGCCTGACTATAAAACTGAATATAGTCAGAGTGGAGTGGCTTTGTGTTGAGCCTTTGGGAAGCATGTGTTTCCAGCCTGTCCCAAGCAGTGTTGTCAGCCTGCAGCCACCCAGGCCATGTAGGCAGAAGTTAGCTCCTTGTCCCTTTTGGAAAGTGTAAAAGAGCTTGATTAACTGCCTCCCTCATGCTGATGACCACAGCAATGTAGATCTCCTCAGGCTTACACAGTTGTCCTCACTCCTGGGCATTTGTGGTTTTGTTCTGCTTCACAGCCTGTAATTCCTAATTTCAGGAATTACGTGTATCAGGAATGTGTGTCAGGATCACAGATAGATTCCAGTGAGACTGAAAGCAAAGAGGCAGGGAGCATCTGTTCCCAAGGGTAATGTAAAAGCTGAAGAGACAGAGCAGGACTGTGCTGAGGAGCTGACGCAGCAGGTGCATGGTCAGCCTGTGGCTTAGCCATCACTGCTGCTTGTGCAACTGCTGTGTTTATCTGGCTTCTCACTTACCTGCCTTTGTAGATGGAAAAGGACATGAGAAGTGACACAGAAGAAAGTGACAAGGATGAAGAAAGAGATAAAATTAAAGGAAAGGAGAAAAATGGGATCACATGTTTCAGCAACATCACAAGCAATGGTTACATCCAGAGGAATGGATCTGAGCCCCTGGACAACAGAGCCCACCGTGCCAATGGCCATGCCAAGGAAAGATAGCTGCTGTCCTGTGCTGCTGGCCTGGCCTCCAGCGACCCCAGGCCACCATCTGTAGAAACAGTTTTGCTCACTGTGTAGATTAACTGGAGTGCAATTGCAGTATTGTAGCTGAATTCCTGCTTCTCATGAACTGAAGTGTTTATAGTCAGTGAATATTTGAAGGAAGTTTTTTGTCTTCCTTCAGTAAAAGCTTACTATAGGTTGTAGCCTCAAAACAGATAGCAAGGGATCAAAGTGGTTTGACTTGTATTAAGACTGTACCATAATTGTTGTCAATTGCATTAATCTTGAAAAATACTTTAAAAATAAGAAGGTAGATAAACTCCAGCAGTGTCAAGTTTTACCCACCTAATGTTTGATAGGAATCTGTTTAGCCTGGATAAGTCTCTGGAGGCCCTGCCTATTGCCAGTAATTATTATGGCTGACAAGTGACAAACCTTACCACTGGGATATCTCGTCTGAGAAAACAGGTGCCCTGTATACACTTACAGAATTAAAACTGAGCATAGTGAAATGAAAGCTTTTGGAAAGGCATAAGATAAAACATACTCTTCTCAAAGGAAGTACTCTTTGTGCCAGTGACACATTATTAGTTTTGTAATGGTATGGATCTCAGTCCCTACTTACTGCCCCTGAGGAGGGAACTCCAAAGCCCAGGCTGGAGGAGTACCCACACAAATCACATTGGAAGAGCTGGAAAATCCAGACAGCTGTTTTTCAGACACTTAGGAGTTGGACTTGGTGATCCTTGTGGGTCCCTTCCAACACATAATATTCTGTAATTCTGTGATAATTGGTAGTTGGAAGCACGTGTTCTGTACGCTGTGATCTGAGCGTATGGTCCCATCTCTCTGTAGGTGCTGTGCTCAGGAGGGATATTGAAATGATACATCATTTTGTACTACTGAATGTAAATGTTCTTTATAAATTACTTTTAAAGGTTTGATCGTTTGGTCTCTTTTCTGCTTCTTTAACCACCAGGAGGTAAACCTGGCTGGCTGCACCTTACATTTGGATGTTTGATGAGGGAGACCCATGTGGGTGCCATTGCCAAGGGGAAGATGTTGCCTGCACAGGACACACAGCTGCACTGAGCCATGCCAGCAAAGGCCTGCAGCAGCCAGGTTTGTGTCCTGCTCAGTGAGAATGTGTTTGGCCCTGGAATAAGGGACAATTTGGGACGTCCCTACACTAGATCTAGGGGCGGGCCAGGTTACTTGGTACTGCCACGACAATGGCAAGTCCAGGGTGGCAACACTGGGGAGGTGCTTTGGCCTTGCAAGGGTAGGATGAGAGAAATTTTTTTTTTTTTTTTTTTTTTTTTTTTTTTTTTTTTTTTTTTTTTTTTTTTTTTTTTTTTTTTTTTTTTTTTTTTTTGGTGAGGTTTTAGGAGGCTAGGGAAGATCCCTGTTGTAAAATCACATCACCTCTCCTCCGAGGAGCAGAATGCTTCCCAGAGTCTGCATAATGCTCAGTGGAGGCAGTGTATGTTAATGCCTGCTGGATTTGATTCTCAGGGCTTTGTTGTGTCCCTGAAGATTGAGATAAGCTTGTTAGGAGGCAAATCTGGTTCTTATGAAAGATACATCAAGGAGACAGGAGAGCTGTTGGATTTGAAAATTACTGAGTGCTGCCTTTAACTGAGCATAGCAGTCATTGAGGCAGATCAGCTGCTGAATTTGTTTTCTTGCCATCAACTTGCTAAGGCTTGAAGAAGCATTCAGCTTCCTCCCTGCACTGCTCCATCTTCTCTCTTTATGTTTGCTCCAGGGCTGAGAAGCTTCAGAGTAGTGTGATAGTTTAAGAATTTAGTGTATCTATCCCCTCCTCTCTTCACACATAGAGGCATCACGGCTCCTCCCACAGGACAGCTGTTGTAGAAAACTTGCAGCAAGTCTGTCACTTGCCTGTCACTTGTCACCCAGCAGAGCATATCATGGAACCACCAAACCCATTAGATTGGGGAAGGCCTCTGAGAGCATCAAGTACAACCTGTGATGAGTCACTACTTTGTCAAATGAGCAGAGTCCAGTCCCTTCTTAATTACCTCCAGGGACAGTGACTCCACCATCTCCCTGGGCAACCCATTCCAATGTTTAACAACCCCTTCCATGAAAAAATTCTTCTTGATGTCCAGCCCATACCTCCCCTGGCATGGCTTAAATCCATTTCCTCTGTTCTTGTCACTGCTACCTGGGAGCAGAGCCCAACTCCCACTTGGCTGCACCCTCCTGTTAGGGAGTTGTAGAGAGTGAGATCACCCTGCACCTCCTTTTCTCCAGGCTGAGCTCCCCCAGTTCCCTCGGCTTCTCCTCATAGGACTTACTCTGTATTGGAGAGTTCTATCTCCAGATGGAGCCCCGGACACCACAGGAGGGCCTGACTCTCTTTTCCCCATACTTTTATTCCCCATATGCACAGACAAGATGTGCGTCACACAGTGTGTGCCCATATAATGTTAGTGAGCAACCGTGGGAGATGAGGCATCCAGCTCCAGGTGAGCAATGAGAAAAAGAGCATATAGAGATGCTTCCAGTTGCTGTGAGGTGGATCAGTCAAGGCTGGCACAGTGTGGCCTCCAGCCTGCCCTAGCCCAAAACTATGGCTGACACGAATCTGCTGACTCCAGTAGATGTGGACATCTGGTGCCATTTTGGATCTTATTTTAAGAATAATTTGGCAGAGTTGTTTCCTTCAAAGGTCTCCATTATTGCATTATTTCACATTATTTAACATTATTTCATTCAGAAATGTATGCCCAAGGGAACCTCTTCTTGGATGGCTGCACTTGGAACAAAATTGCTTTTCTCATTCTCACAGGTACAGCAGACATTGCCTGCAAATAAAGGCAAGGCCTTGTTCAAAAAGCTGAAGTCATATCAAAACAAGGGAAGGGACTTTTAACTTTGTCAGATGAATGTAAGCATGAGATAAAGCAGGCCAAGAAATATCCTGAGAAACAACTTGAAAGGAAATAACAGTCTCTGAAACATTGGCAAGATGGCTGGATTCAGAAATTATGGTGGCAGACAGCAGGAACACTGGGATAGGTCAGGCTAGAGCCAAGAAATGCAGTGAGCTGCCCTGTGTGGTTCCCCAGCTAAGGGAGAGAGGGTCCAAAACCCGACATCTCACTCAGAGCATATCCCAAGAGGATCTACTTCAAGCCAATATGTGAGAAAATGTTCACTGAGTAACAGCAAATCTTCAAACCCACTGGCAGGAGGTGATTTGTTCTTAGAGGAGTTCAACTACCAACAGTGGAATGCTGTTCTTTGTCTCAAATCATCTTGTTATCAGAAAAATTTAAGAAGGTTCCCAGTGGGAATGTAAGAAACTACAACCTTTTGTAGTCTGACATGCAGACTGGTCAGAGCAGTAGAAAGTATTTTTTGTGATAGAATTTTTGGAAACAGATATGAACTACATAGGATAGAGTTGCCATGGGAGGCATCTGTGGGGAAGTTGTCTCACTCTGCGGGAGTTACACCAAAGGAATTGGTGAGCTTGTGTAGTGGAGAGAACCTGCACCCTGCTCAGCTTTGCAAAGGCATTCAGAAAGGTCCCTGACCAGCCTGATGAAACCCACCTGAGCTGATGATGAGAGACTTGCAGCAAACACTGATTGTTTGCAGCTGTGTATTGTTGCAGGTGCCCCCAAAAAGGGGGAGGGAAAGGCAGAGAGCAAAATCATCTGATAATGAAGGTTCTTCATGATGGTGTTGCAGGTTGTCTGCTGCAGCTCACAGCACTGAGAGACTGACAGAACACAGGTGAAGCTGAGTGCAGCAGAGGAAGGTGGTGCAGGAGAGAGAGTGTCCTGAAGTGCTGGCCTGTGTGTGAGCACTCCAGAGCTGCTCTGGGGAGCAGTGCCTCAGGTTTTTGCTCAGTATATGATGATTCAAAATGCAAACAGGATATGGGATGTTGCTGGCTGAGATGAAGGAACCAAAACTAGGACTGCTGGGGCCTTGAATATGTCAGAAGATTTTAATGGATGTAAACAGTCTCCCCTGGGACCTCCATCCACACCCTCTGCCAGGTGTCAGAGCTGATTAAGAGACAAGGGCTGTGCAGCCTGAGAAGGAAAAGCCTGATAGAAAGAGGGGGCAAGAGAGATGACCCTGCTGATAGTGTCACCAGGTGAAACAGGGTGAAATTGAAATCAGCCACCTCCTTGACACCCTCTGAATTACTCTCGTGTACTAGGACATCTTACCTCACCTCCAAGCTCACAGGCAGGTCAAAACAAGTGATGATATTTCAACTAGTCTGACGTACTCATGGGATTGAGCAAGAGGTGGGGACAGTGAGTGATGAGTTGTTGAGTTGGGACTCCTGATTGAGCAGTGAGCTTTCTGCCTTACTAATACCAGGCAGCCTCTGGTTTCTTTGCCCACTGTCTTGACTAGAATGGGAGTGTCAGAGGGATTCTGGCACCATGAATACTGGCTGTCACCTGGAGCTCTCTGGGAACACCTGAAGGAGTCTGCAGACATACAATAACCACAGCCTCAGCACCTCCAGCTCTGCATCCCTGGTACCCCGTTATTGATCTTTGTCCGATGCAGCTTTGAAAGGTGAGTGCAGCACCTCTGGTTTCTCTTGTGCTGGTTGCCACCACTGTTTTGTGGGGCTGCTCCAGAATACTCCTTACCTGCCTCCTGACCACTACAAAATGTACATGGGATTGTCCCCAAGGATAATGAATCTCTCTGCTTTTCATGCCATATGGTATTTTTATGGTATGGCAGCTCTTTCCCCTGCCCTCCCTCTCTCCTGTACCTGTAGGTATGAAAAGATAAGTCCATCTCTCAAGTCGTACATTAGCTGTGGGAGGATCCCCCTGGTCCAAGACAGATAAGGCAGCTTGCAGCACAGATAAGGGATTTACTGGGTATGTCAGTGATGGGAGCCCCTAGCTGAGCCAGGGTTCAGCCTGATCCTAAGAGGATTGCTCCTGAAGGTGCTATGTGAGGTCCCTACCCCAGAGCTCCTAGAGCTGCTGCGGGACCTCTTTGCTCACACAACTCTGCCCAGCTCTGCCTCACTTTCTCCTCTTGACACCGAGGACTCCAGTTCTGTCAGGGGCGACGACACACTCCAGTGTCCCAGCTGCAGGCATGTCACCCTCCGGGAGCCTGAGGACTGGCTAACATCTCCCCAGAACTAGTGTGTGGCAATGAGGCAGATGCACATTGCTCATCCCATAGATGGATTCAGACAGGGCTTTGTGTCCCTTTTCCAGGAACAAGGACTGACACATGGGGAGGTGCAGATCAGCCCTCGCACTTGGAAAATTGGAAACCAGTCAGTTAAAGTAGGGCTGTGTGCCCATGTGGGCAGAATTGCCAGCGCGCTTTCCATCAGGCAGAACAGGACTCCAGAAGGGAAAAGAGGAGGATGTGAAGAATTGAACTGTGGTCAGCAAACCTGCCCTAAGCTGGGACAGAGGGTCTCTCCTGGAGGAGCCAGGGGAGCATTGGCCCATCTGCCCTGAGTGCTGGCTCCTGCCTGCAGTGCACAGCCATGTAAGAAGATGTGGCAGATGAGGGCTGTAGGAAGAGCCAGAGTTAATTCCAGGGTCATCAGGTCTTCCCTCAAAGAAAGGAAGGCAAGTTGCACCTGCCTGGCTTCCTAGAAACAACATGATTTAGGACACAATGCCTCTCACTAGAGCTTTGCTGGGGTTTCCTGCAGGAACCAGCATATTCCCATGTGTTCGGTCCTTGGCTCCTGCTGCAGACAATGGTCAGGTACCCTGGACACAGAGCCCATGGGACACTCAGACACTTGCAGACTGGTTTTGTGGCATACTCTGGACTGCTCAGGAGCACAGTGAGGAGGGCCAGCATACACTCCAACACAGTGGCATGCTCTGTGTCCTGTTGCCTCAGCAAAATTAATTATTGCTTATTTAGCCATCGTTATTGTTGTCTCCACCCC